ACAGTATTTGATAGTGTACCGAAGTGTTATTGAATATATTCTTTCAACTAAAAGGTTTATGATGTGAAATTTGGTCTGCATCTCTTAGTACACTCGATCCTCGCGTTCCTTTCTTCTCAAAGAAAAAGTTTTTTCTACCGTGACGAACATTCGGAGTGTAGCAAAACTTTACGGTTTGATCACGTTCAAAAAACGTCATGTTTAGCGTTCACGTTTAAGGAACATCAACGTCCTTTAGTGCTATGTTCAAAGAGAATGCTAAACACGAACGCTGAACTTTTGCAAGCCTGCCCTAGACTTTCAGTCAACGGGATAATATATATGTGTATATAATATATAGTGCAGAAGTAATGGCAAACATGCTGAGCATTATTTCGCCATGTTTCCGAAGTACTGGTGAGTTAATTATTTTTCCGTTACAAAGATCCAAGTCTGAACTTCGTAAAATATAGAGAAGAAATTTTTTCCTGATTGAGTTTGAGTGAAAAAAGCTCTTTGCCGGTTCTTCTCAGAAATGTAATGATATAAAATATGTTCATCACAAGTTACGAGAAATTATAGTTCGTTTTGTCATCTAACGATAGACAGCACCGAAGATGAAACGACCACCAAAATGATTATGTAGCACCTATTTATTATGTAGCAACTTACATTATGACTGAAGCCGACTGGTGTGCTCTGGTAAATATCGATATTCTTCTTACATACACCTGAACTAATCTACTAAAATTCGTCAAAGACTATTGTTGTGCACATTCATCATATATTCAACAAGTGGAGTGAGGTGAAAAAAGTAAATAACGATGTTTTCTTTTTATTCTATGCGGCGTGCACAAAATTGTTGAAAGGTAGTGATGTTGATGCGACGTCGAAAACATTAGTCTCATATATATATGTATGTGTTAGCGTCCAAAGTGAAATTCAGTCCAATGTACTTTTGGCCTAGAACAAAGTAAAATTCCACTTTGAACTGAAATTAGAAAGAAATTTATTATAATTTATTTATTTTTATAAGAAATTCTCCGTTTAGTTCGATGCTTTGAGAAGAAAAGCGTCTGTTTGCTCACCGTAATCGTTGAAAGAGTATCAAAAGGAGCTAAGGGTTATTTAGAGAAACAACATCAGCTTTTGCATGAAAAAATATTTGTGCATGAATGCTATTCAAAGACTACAGCCACTTGAATACGGTCTTTTATGCGCTTCTCTCTTGCGTTTGTTTTTAACTCCGTGGACTATATAATGCGCCTTGAAAACTCCTTCATTGTAAAGACGAAACATGGTGCAGCTTTATTTCGCTTTACTCATTTTTGTCTCCATTTCTTCAACGTATTCAGGATCTACGTTCCTTCAAAATATTAGGCCAAATACGACATCGAATGGTACCGCAGCTCGTTATAGCTACGACGACGTTTATGGAGGTGCATGCCCTGATGGAAGTTCACCCCGATTGGGATGCAGTAAGTTGTTAGAAACAGAGAAAAGCTCTCGAGACAATAGTAAGAATAATTGTAAAGTAGATATCCTTCTCAGAAATGTAATGATATAAAATATGTTCATCACAAGTTACGAGAAATTATAGTTCGTTTTGTCATCTAACGATAGAAAGCACCGAAGATGAAACGACCACCAAAATGATTATGTAGCACCTACGACCATTCCTATCTTTTTAGTGAGATCCTAAGAATTTTACTCTTTTCCTATGAGTGCCTAAGCGTTTCGATTTCTACAGAATCTAAGTGTATGATCCTTTAGAATTTTCAAAGGAAAGTGCCAAGGCGATTCAGTCAAAGAGTTATCCCCCCGAGACAGATTTAAATTAATCGCAAAACTATTTCAACATATTTTCCATACGGTCTCGTAGCTGAACGGCTACTATGGATTTCATCACAGTTTCGACGGATTTACGATCAAAAGTCGTTCGAGTTTATATGTTATGTATATGTATATGCAGTTTTGCTACTTCTTCCTACAGTAGGTGATCCGTGCACTACCGATTGTTGTCTTGCCGGAGATGGAATCGTTGAAGTTCCGGGAACCAATCGTAGCAAGCTTGTGGCTGATCTCATCTCAGGAGATATTGTGTGGTCGGTCAATCAAGCAGGAAAAATCGTTCAATCTGAAGTCTATATGATTTTCCATAGCTCGCACACAAGTCAAAGTAAATAATGGTACTAAGCGGTACTTTCTTGTTGCTTTTATGCTTTTGTCTTTTGTTTTGTATAACGTAGCACTGTTCTCTGTGATCTGGACAGAGGATGGACAACAAATTAGCTTGACGCCTCATCATCTCATTCCAATTGTACGAAATGGGGCTACGAAAACTGAATTTGTCTTTGCCGAAAGCGTTAAGACGAATGACCATGTTTATATGCAAGCAGCAGATGGTGTCGAAGGTAAAACTGTCCTACTTAAAGTTCATAGTGTTACCACGGAAGTGAAAAATGGCTTCTACTCACCGATCACTCATGAAGGTAATACTAGCAGTAATAGAATTTTCTCCATAAACTGATAAGATTATTTTTCAGGTACCATCATTGTCAACAACGTGAGTATTCAAAGCGTATTAATGCCGTTTAGAAACTCGCTGTGGATGTTTCCTTTAGATCGTTGTCTCTTGTTACTCAGTCATTAACAATCACCGTGTTGCTCACATTACACTTGCACCCTTACGCTGGATTCATACTGTTTTGAAAACATTGTCAATCACTGCAGCTCCGTTTGGAAAGTCGCCGCAAGCGACAGCGACAAAACAAGATGTTCAGTTACAAGCCTATCAACGTGTGTTCTTCCACGCAGCTCGTATGCTACTGCCACAATTCTTTTCGATATAACTTTTTTTGTATTGTTTTATGCTAGCAACCTCCAGAAGCAATGTTCTTTTTCTTCATATTGTGTAATCGATCTTGTTGCCACTCGGCGACACTTCCGATCGGGATATAATCAATAATAAAGTAAGATCTAGAATCTTTATGCAAAGAGAACATATAGAGGCTTTCTGTCTCGTACGTTAGAGTATCAAGAAAGATATAACTGAGAAGTTTATTTCAAGTGACTCTGGCTTGAATCTTCTTTCCCTAAAAAAATTAGATCGAACGCCTAAGAATGCACGAATGGGGGCACGTTTCGCCAATGGTCTCAGGAAATTGGACTGGAAACACCAGGCGAATCTAAGATTGGACTAGTCCAAAATACAATTTAGAATTAATCCGGCCAATGTAATATTGGCCTAGGCTAATGTCAAATCAGGATGATAATTCACGCATAAGCGACAGAATTGATCATTTGTACTGGAACATTCCTTCTAATGAAACAACGTCCTGTTTCAGACCAATTCCAAGGAAGGCTGTTCAACCAAACAGACTTTGATTTCTCACTTTCATACGTCAGGATCTACCGATATGCTAGTAGAAGAAGAGACGAAAACTTATAAATTATCTAGATACTACAACTAATTTTCCGGAACAATATAATATGGACTTTATGATTAAGGATAATTCGTCGTAAATGATCGACTTCCTCTTTTATTTACAGCTAGTATTAAATAAAGACAGCAGCCAGCGCATAGGTTGCAGTAGATCATGACTTTTGGAATTCGTCTGAAATGAAGGTTTTATAGAAGCTGTTTTATAGAAGCAACAACGTCCTGTCTCAGATGAATTTGTATTTGTCAACACATTTGAAACAGATACAGATTCTGTGAATCAAAAAGGAGAGTTTGGCAAACCACAAAGCTTTCTATAAAACCTTCATTTCAGACGAATTCCAAAAGTCATGATCTACCGCAACCTATGCGCTGACTGCTGTTTATGCAGTTACTTTTATAGTAAACACTGCACGGAACAGATAAGTACTTGTTCATCATGTAATTTCAAATTACCAATTTTTGTAGCAATCTACTTGAAAAAGTCGGATCGATCGAAATTGTAGTAACGGGTACACTCTAAAAAATAATGCGACGCAGGATCAAAGTGAGTCGCATTAATGTGTCTTATTTTCACCGAATAAGGTACTTTAATGCGACTTAATTTGACTATAGTCCAGATAAAATTGCCGGTTTTTGATAGGCTTCTTTCTCAAATTAGACTCGAGCAGACAGTTTGATTCTGATGCTAAAAGATAGAGAATTTTATATAGATTTTATTGATATGTTCTTTTTTAAATAAGCATCTACCATTCTTTTGTAGCATTAAAAGTATTGGATGCCACGAAAATATCACTTGCTCAGCTATAAGATCGGAAACGTGTAAAAATCAATTTTGCCCAGTTAGATTGAGTTCAAAAATTTCTTTCTTGTAGTAAGAGATGTAGAATTTTCTTTGGTGTATCTTGTGGTGTGTTGGATTTGATAATCTTAGTTGCTTCTCCTTCGAAAACTACAAAACATCAAAAAGACGTTCACGGACCATGCCATCCTACTTTCCTTTAGCAATTTTCTCATAACTTGATCTTACAAAAATTATCCTTTTTATGTAAACAAATGCAGAATTTAAAGCTCTAAAAAATGCTCTTCTTTATATGGTCGGTCCTCTTTTCTAACCGAATGACGAAGTTGACATGTTTCGTTGGCATGAAAGTGCGCCAAAAATAGATAATTAGGCATATTTTGTAGGCGATTTTCAACAGAGTAAAACTCAGTCCAATCCAAATTTCGTTTTGTGTCTAAAAAACAAATTACGTTCCTTTACTTTTTCATAGTGTGTATAGAAAATTATTTAGTAAATAAAAATGACATTTTATTCCAGTCAAGTACTGAGTAAATGATGGTTTTGTGGCATCGAATACCTTTAATTCTACAAAAGAATGGTAGATGCTTATTTAAAAAAGAACATGTCAATAAGGTCTATATAAAATTCTCTTTTATCGCCAGAACCAAACTTTCTGATCGAGTTTAACTTGAGAAAAATTAGACTTAATCTGGACCACCCGTTAGTATTCGTAATCAGCATAAAAAGAATCTCTATAATCAAGTCGATTTTAAGGAAAAACGCGAGAAGAATACTTGAGAATGTTCTCTCATAATATCTATTATCTATTCTATCATGTCTATTGCATATAATGAATTTACTTGACCTAATAACTGTACTCTCTTTCTCTATTTATGTGGGGAAAAATTTCATTTTATTTATCAGAAAATATAAATTTTGATTAAAAAAATAAACAGATTTTATTAAAATCAATATTAACATCCTGTTAATATAACATAACGCTGCCATGCTTGCAGTAGGGTTCCATTGGCCCGATGATTGATCATATATTTCACAACTAGCAAGCTTGCCGGACGGTTCTAAGCCACCAGTGACAAGAACTTTGCCCGAACTGAGCATGGCTGCAGTATGATTATCACGTGCCGTTGTCATGCTTGCAGTGATGTTCCATTGGCTTGATGATGCATCATATATTTCACAACTAGCAAGCTGACCGGATAGAGCGTAGGTACTTCACACGAAATTATGTTTATAACTTAAAAACATAGCCTGGAGACTCCAGATTTAATTAGTGAATAAAATGTGCTTTTATCAAACATTGACATCTGCCTATGGATGAGTACATGAGAGACATTAGTAAAAGGTGGTATCACAACTTTGTTATTATTTAGTTTTTCCGTATCATTTATATCAAACAAAACAACAAAAACGACCAAATCGAGCCTTTATTAATCTGAAAACAGTATAGCTGAATTAGACCTAATCTCAAATAAAATATCTCACTTAATTCCGAAAATTGGAGTGGAAAGTTTCTCGATTTGAGCCTTTGGTTCTTCTCAGGCTCCAAATTCGGCTGAAAAACGTTTCGCAATTTAAGCGACCACTACTATGTTGTCATACATCACTCGTCGTATATGTCGTACAGTAAAATTCTTTTCAAGTACATGTTTTTGAAGAGCAAAATTTTCTTCACATTTTCAATTACTACTCAAATTTTAGAAAGGCTTTTTTTATTCACATCAGAGGCCAAAAGCTGGTAAACGCACGGTGACAGCATCTCCACTTCCAGAAAAATCCACTTCTTTTAATTTTAAGGTGCTCTTCGTGATCAGCGCAAGTTTCTGTAGAGGATAACAAATTTGTGAGCCGTATTTTTACGTACGTTTGATTCAGTTTGGCATAAAGGACTGCTGTATAAACTAAGACAAAAACGTGTATCAGAACAAGTTATACAGTGGTTAAAAAGTTATTTCCATCTGAGGAAAATTAGGACGGTAGTCAACGGCTGCGCCTCAAATGAAGAGATCATCAACTGTGATGTTCGTCGGGGGAGTATCCTTGCCCCTCTGATGTTTCTTATATTCATTGATGACCTTAGAGATAGCTTAGAGTGTTTATTAAAATTATTTGCTGATGACGCTACACTGCTCGATACCCACACATCATATGCATATTCTACTAACAGACTAAATAATGACCTAATCAAAATAGTTAATTGGTGTGACACATGGCAAATTGATATAAACATAGGCAAAACTAAAGACAT